TGGCAACCATATGTAATTCAAAGGGTTTGTCTCAAAGAAGCAGCTTCAAAAGAGCGACTTTGGGAGAATATTATTCTGAGTTGTAAAACAATAGTAGAGCTAGTAAATTCAGGACAATACAAATAACACATAACCAACTGTGTCATAATCCTGCCCTCCCATGATATATATGCCTTAAAAAAATGCTTGCAGGGTTAATGACAGAGAAACCACGTGGAAAAGCTGCTTCACTGAGGGTTGCTGACTATTGGTCAGCCTCTTAGCAAGACCTGACCCAGATTCAGAGGTTGTCTCCAAATGGAAAGATGAGAAGATATAATGTAATTTGCTATCAGAATGACACATAACTGGGCAAGAGCTCTCCTGTCACTACCCCAACCCACGGATAAACTGCTTGGCTACAAAGGGCAAGGGTGGTGGAATAAAGGGCAGAGGGAATGGCCATTTCTCCTCTGCAGCTGAGCAGGAGCTATCTACACTATTATAAGCTATTCTGGGGCTTGAAAGTCTTCCAACCCTACTGATGTCTAATCTTCTCTTGTTCATGATCACTTCCTTGGTACCTATTTCTCTTCAGCACTGTGTTGTTGCCTATCTTACACTAGGCACCCATAAAATAAAGCCCATTTAAAGTTTGCAGATGGGTTAAAACAGTAACAAAAAAAGTTTTCTTCATCAAGAATCAGTGTCTTTTCCAACCCTAAGTTTGCTGCTTCCTGAAGTAATGAAAGAGATGTATCTTTCCTGCTCTAACTAGGATCTGTGAGCTAAGCCAGTGAAGGTGTGTGTACCTAACTGTGGCTTCAATAAACAGAGTTTAGGGTTTCTCAGAGCAAGGTATCCTCTCAACAGGCAAACCAGCTAGTGGCTGTGTCCCTTTTAGTCTGCACACACCCATCAGCCAGGTTTTGCATCTCCCATTTTTAATGGGGAAAAAACTGGAAAGGATGACCTTCATAATCCCCTCTACCTGCTTATGCAAAGCTCAATAAAGACAAACTTGTAAGCTTGCAGCCATACAAGTCAGCAAGCTGTATAGCTCATGACTTTGTAGCAGTGTGTTAGGCAAATATCTGAATTGCAGTTAGAAAAAATACCTTGGAAGGAAAAACTCCTAGCAGTGATTCCTTTTATCCATGGAAGGATGTTTTTAAGAGAAGAAAATCAATGTTGTCTTTAAACATCTTGAATTTTGCTCAAGACTAAAAAAATGCATGTACTGTGAAGTAGCTCGGGTTTATGTTCCTGCAATTTAAAAAGTTCATACAGTAAGTTTTATTTCACCATATTTCTGGTCACAGATATTTTAACCTAAGTTATCAGGCCACAGTCTAGCTTTGACACCATAAACTGAATAAAATATAGATGGTATTTATGTAAGCACCTAAATAAATATATGTATAGGAAAAAGTAGTAACATTAAAGACTAAGTACTGCCCTTAGAAAATTAATTGTTGAAATGTAAAACCAGTAAACACTTGAATATATAATATGACCCATTACTATCTTTTGAAGCTTAAACCTTACAAACACCTATGGTTTTAATTACTCAATTTATAAACATTTATTAATTAAATTAATGAATTAATTTTTTCATATTGTGTTTTTCAAGATTCTGATTTATAGAAATATGTTTTCTTGCAAGCCTCTAGAGTCTTAAGTAGAATGAAAAAATATGGTACCATTTTAAAATAATAAACTACAGTGAGGAAGTTACTTGTAGAACAGCAGCATTTCAGTGTGAAACTGCCAACACATTTAGTGCCTAATGCCTATATTTAATTAAACCAGTCTGTGAGCATAACAGAGAATGCAACGTCTATGCTTTTGAAGATGGTCCAGTGTGCATTCCACATGGACTCTGTGTGTGGTCTTTTCATGGTCAGAAAACAATATTCTTCTCATGTCCCATGTTTTCTGTGGTAATCTTAGTTAGCTGTGTACTCCATCCAAATGCTGAACAGTCAATCTCTTGCAGATTCACAATGAAACCCTCCAGTGTCCAGCCCTGCACATAATATATGCTTTGCTCCTGGTATTATGCTGTCACTGACTGTGAAAGCTCTGTAGATGAGCTTGTCATATCCACCCTTTAACATTAGTTGTTTTATTTTGGTTTTGGGGGAAAAGTGGAGTGAGTAATGATTTACATTTTTATATATATGCTCTAAATCTCATATTCATGCTAAGCTATAATGATTCCCTCATTAGCTCTTTCAGTTTAGTTGTGAAAACACTGGTTATGAGAAGAGCCAAAGAGGGCTAACAGGAAGGAGGTTCTGCACCACCAAAGTAGGATTTGAAGAGTTTCAGGACATTGCTAAGCCAGGCAAGATTTTCCAGAGTACTTCCAAACCAAGAAATCTGAAAAGAAGATGGGGAACTCATAAGCAATACCATTTTTATTATCAGCTTTCTTATCCGTTTGTTTCTGGAGATGTTAGGCTCAGATCTTTGATGTTTGTGTATTGCAGGGCTTCACAGTATCTTCAGATGATCCTTAAAGTTTCAGTGAAAGCTGCCTTGGTCAGCTAGGGTGTCTCAACGTAATATGTAATACACCCCCTCTTCAATGGGGAATTTAATTTACTTTAAAAAGAACGCAAGACAGTCACAAGCAGAAGTGGCTTTTCACAGAGTATGGAACACAAACTGACAGCTGTGTGGTGCTGGTGCCATGAGGAGGCCTGACTATCCATTGTACACCAGCTTGGCTAACACCCTGCTTCCAGCCACGTCTCCCTTACACAGAGGGAAGGGAGGGGAAGAATGGAAAGATATTTGAAGATGCAGCTCTGGCCTTTCTGGACAGTCAAGACAGAGAGTGATAGCTGGGTATTCATAACTCTGGAGAGTGGTTCATCACTGATTCATACAAGCTGTTCCCTTCAATGAAACAGGAAGGAGCCAGTACAATAGAGGTTTTACAGAGTGGAGAAACAGGGAAGGGCTTAGCATCACAAGGCAATAAATTGCTGTTATTATGAGAGATGTTATAAAACAGTTTGTGGTTCTAAGATTAATTTTAGTTCAAGTTTCAACTTCAGAACATTTGCCAGTTGCTGACTCTCAAACCATCCTTCTCTCAGTCACAAAATGGGGAACTAGCAGAGCACAAAAACCCCTTCTACAAAAAGCTGCTCTGCTGCTTACGTGCCCAATTACCTCACTGAGACTCAGGGGTACACTCTGCAAAGGTTTTCAAGACTCCTTGAACCAATTCTGGACACCACATATTCCAGAGAATATGGGATTTTGTCGTAGTTTACAGTTCATTCCCAGTTCAACATTAAAAGTGCACAGAAAGCAGCTCCTTCTACTACTTTTATGGCAGATGGTCAGGTTAGTCTAGTCTTCCAGTCATCTGAAAGTCTAGTCTTCCAGTCATCTGGAAAAACATCTACTGTGACAACACAGGAAAATTGTAATGTGTATTTTTGTATTAGGTCTTCAGCTATATCCTAATTGTAACTGTACTGTGGGTGAATCTAGTACCAATACACTTGCCCACTCCCACATGACAAAAAAGACAGGTAAACTGCCTTAGAATGATGTTGAAAGATATTTTTGACCACAGCAAACCACCAATACACTCACATGCATTTTTATAAATATGGGACAATTGTGAAATTAATTTCTCATCCAACCTTAAAAAATTAGCAACAAAAAGTATACTAGAAGTATAACCTAAACCTGTTGTAAATATTTTTTTTTATACAATGAAATTCCCTCTGTCCTTATTTGCAGTCTGAGTCTTGGCTCTTTTTATTTTCATCTGTCCTATTAGTCAGAAGTAATTTTTTGGTGTGTAAATGGCAGTTTATGTATATTACGCCTTGGCAATGCTTCCCAACCGTTTTGGTACAAAAAGCAAGCTGCCTTTAAATGTTGCAGCAGTCTTAAATGACTACTACGTAATTGCAACTGTGGCTGTTTCATCTTGTAACCGTTCCACTTCTTTTGTCCCTCCCACAAATTATTTTTGATAGGGGAACAATAGAATGAGCCGTTCTCCATAGGCAGCATTTTGCTGCCGCAGTGAAACAGGCTGAGGAGTAACATTCTTGCTCGATAAATGTGCTTGTGGCTTCACAGACCGAGGAAGGAACAGGACGAGCTTGTGAGCCTCAGTATCTTGTTTGCTGACTGCCAACAAGTCACAGGAGGGTCACGCAGGAAGTAAAATATGATTTGGTGCAAATGGCTCTACCCTGAACTCAGACCCACAAGTCCAGAGAAGCAGGCAGGTGGTGTGCAGTTACAGTCACAGCACAGGACAAATTAGGGGGAATTACTATTTTGTGTCTGTGTGCATTCTTGACAGGAGATGAGGGAGCAGACAGTGACAGTTCACAGGAATGAATTCAAAGACTGCGTGAGAGGACAAAGGGGAGAAACCCAGAGAAGTCAATACTTGCAGAGGACTAAATCTTTACTGATACCCACTGCATCTCCCCCGCCCTTAGAAAGAGACCCAGGGAGTAATCTAAAAGGCTGCGATCTGCTGAATAACCATGGCAAGCTCTGTTACTGTCCTGTAGGTCCTGGATGTCATGGTTTAGCAATGGTATTCCCAAATTTAGTACTCCCACTAGAAAGAAAGCGATGAGCTGCTCCCCTCCCCACCCTGGCGAGAGAAAAAAGGCAGAGATTATGGGTTGAGATAGGAAAAATTTACTGGAAACAGCAATCAGAAAAGAAAACAGTCAGTAACAGCAACAATACTAACAACAGAAGTGTACAAAGAGAGGGTGATTCACAAGCAGAATGCTCACCAAGCCCGGGACAATGAGAGATAGTGGCAGACGGACCCTGCGCCTGCCACGCTTTTTTGCCCATCCTTTTCCCGGAAGCGAGTCCTTCACTTCCACCCCCAGCGATCACAAGAGGAGGGACAGAATAACAGACGAGACACGCCTACACGGCTCCAGGCTCAGCCCTCATGGCTACTGCCAAAAATTAACTCCGTCCTGGCCAAAACCGGACGCTGGGGTACCTACCGCTCCTTGGACAGCATCCCTGTGGCAGGGCGGGTGCGATCCCTTAGTGCTGCTCAGATCCCGCTCCTCCAAACCAGGGGAATCACGGAGGTGAACTAGGGCTGCTTTCTGCACAGGGTTTTCCTCCCGGAGAAAGCCGGTGAGTGGATGCTGCGTGGTAGCGATGCGCTCACGCCCCGAACCGATGCGGCGCTGGGAGGCACACGGGAGGTGTGGTGTGCTCAGGCAAGGTTTACCTCATACAGCGTGCAGGCACCTGCCCCACACTGCGTACAGCCATGCTGCAGTTCAAGTTCTTATGACAATTTTTGCACAGAAAACCGCAAAGACTGTCCTCCCTCCCCCTTTCAATAGAAAAAACACTGTATAAACAAAAGAGCCAAATCCTCACTCATGGTATAGAGGGCTCTGTTCGAAGCTCGGCAGCTGAATTTTGCTTATCCCGGAAGCAACTCAGAATACACAGGACAGTTGCAAAATCACAGCAGGTCTGCCTTTCTAGCTGGTATTCTCTACACTGCAACATTTTTGGTCCTGATGGGCATTGTCTGTATGTAATTAGGGAGCGGTTTGGTAACTGAGTTTGCACAGATGATAAGGCATCCATCAGCGTAGTATAAATGTTATAAGGCTCTGGGGAAAGGACCACCTTATAAATGAGTGTTTATATAATGTCCTGCACAATGGGAAACCAAATCTCTTTGAATTCCTAGATGCCATCCAAACATGTCTGTAAGTGTGTATATATTTCACGAACATTACACAAAGACCAAAAAACTAAGTAAAAGCCAGATTCCTTGCCCCTCCTTAATTACTGAGGGATTTTTGAAGAGTCTCTTTCTGACTGGGTCTCTTTCTGAAATTTTATTCAATTTTATTCAAAAGGAATAATTTATTAGACAATGGATATATGAGAGCAAATTTTCTGGAATAAGAGAGCTGGGTTTGAATGGCACTGTTTTTCTGCCTATAGCTATGCTTGGGGCAAGGGTAAGGTCTCCAGATCTGCTGTAAGGCTTGCAGAAAACCCTTTAGTCAAGAATCTGTGTGTATTTATAAACTGACCATCATAAATTTCAGTTCAAGATGGAACAACTTCCTTTGTAAGTCCTTCGGACAACACCTGAGCGTAACTCTGACGCCAGCACAAGTTATGCCGAGTTATGAGGGAAGGGAAGGTCAGTTCAGCACAGCCTCTCAATGCACTTTGCTGGCTGACTGGATATCATTGGATTCAGGCTTTTGAGAGCTGGATCTCTGATCTGATCCTAAGGGACTACAGATTAAGTAACAAAGAGGAATGATACATGCAATAAACACAGTATAGTCTTTTGCTGTGGAAGTGGTGATTTGAATGGGAAGCCCTGAGGCATTAATAAAGACAATAGCAAACATGTAGTAAAATTACTTTGACTCTACAGACTCTTAGGAACAACAACAACAAAAAATTGTTTCTCTTCCTATTTTATATGTATGTGTACATGTTTGTGTACACCTAGATGTGCATATGCGAGACACATATGTATGTGTCTTTCAGCCTTCAAGCAAACCAAACCTCTTTTCTTTGGGACAGCAGCTCAGTGTCTGAGGTTATAACCGGGGGATGCTGTGGTGGCTGTCAGAATGACCAGTGTTTAACAAAGACCGTCTTTCCTCGGCTATTTCCCCCATACTAAATTGGAACACATTATGTGAGGGGCCACCCTGGTTTTATTGAACTCAAAACCACTACAGGGACTGAAAGTGACTCTGAAGCTCTGAGCATAAACCTTCTTTGTTGTGTGTGTGTGTGTTAGCATGTCATCTTTTGGGATAATCATCCAAATGTGGTGCCTACGGAGATGTGGCTGATTCAATACTTGTGCTCCCGGGTGGTCACCCTGTAATTTAAAGACTCACTGGCCTCACGAAGATAGCCACAAATGGAACAGTAACCATAATTACAAGAGGCTGTTCTACTAATCCATAGTTAACAAATGTTAGTTAAAAGATAAATAAGCCTTATGCAAGCATTTCCTGGAGGTGCATGAGCCTCGTGTTTTCATTTGTTCTGGTTTCCCTGTTTTTTAGAGAGGGAATTAAAAAAAAAAGAAAAAAAAAAGATTTTTTTGTAATCTAATTTTGTTTCAACTCCTAGAAACTGGAGAATTCCTTTGAAGTTGCAATATCTTCTAAAAAACCCCAAATACTACTTCTTCTTTATGACTCTGAGAAACAGCACAATTCTTTTCCATGCTGAATTTCTCTTACCTCTGTTTTTTGTTCTATTTTTTTATCTTATCTTCAATCTGTAGCTTTATAGAAGAGAACAAGAGGCTTTTAGAATTTAGCAACAAAACAGAAAAAGGTTAGAGGACTCATTTTCCTTTGTAAGAAATGCAAGTATTTGCTGTATTTCCAGTATATTTGTGTATGTATCATTCATTCTTGATATTTTTTTTTGCAGAATACGGGTTTAATAGTTCCAAAGTGTAACAGTTCTTCAAGTTAGAATTGCATCCATTTTCTTTTAGGTGACAAACTGCTGTCTGGCATCGCTGCAGCTAAAGCAGGCCTGATTACACAGCAATAAAAGAATATAGGAATTGTATCACTGCAACTGCAGGCTAGTCACACAACTCTGCTGTAACCTACTTGCTGGTAAAAATCTTTACATAGCTCTTACAAGTAGATGGTTGCTATCAGAATTAAAGAATTAAGATTTATTCCCTTAATTTTTACATTGTTTAACGTAACTTTGGATGATCTCATTATCCATATAAATGTATAATCCTTTCTTGAATCCTGGTAAGCTCTTGGCCTCACACACAATTGGTATGCTGCCATATCCAAACATTGCTTATACCATCAAGGAACTGCGCAGTTGTGCAGAAGGGATAGAGAAGCAAAGATTTTGCCCCTAAAAAGCATCTGAAAGCAAATAAAGAGGTGCAATTTACTGAAACTAGTCAGTTGTTTAGGTCTTCTCTCTTAAACTTATAAACATTTTAGAATGTTGATATAAACTGTATACACTAGAGATGAGTCTAGTCAATATACTCTGTTTATTCTTAACACAGAGAGATACTTTCTTCATAGAAGACTACAGGAAAAGGTCATATCTCACTAGATGAGATGCTACAGGTGGAAAATATAGACAAAGCCTTATGGGGCAGTACTCCTCCAACAGGCCTGAGAAGAAGCAGGAAAGTCTATCCTAAACACAAATTAGTGTAATTGCTTTTAGTTAGCCGTGGTAATGCTGCTTAATTAGAGCTCCTGAGCAAGAAAGGCTGTCAATAACACTGAGCAAGAGATGCTTGTGCCAAACACAGACAGAAAATGGGACAGCAGAGAGATATGTAGGAATGGAGGGAAAAAATGTGCTAGTGCTTGTGCAATGGGGAAAGAGAAACAGGAAGATTGTGAAGTGCCACGAAATCAGTGCCTCTATTTCAGAGCTGCCATTTTCCAGAAAAACTGAGAATACTTCTTTAAGTGACTAGAGTGGAATTATGATTATGAAAAATGTTATCTTAATTGTATGCTGTTCTTTTCCTCCACTATCATTCATCTTGGTTGAGCAGTATTTACTTCATCCACCTCCATTCCATCAGATCACTTAAAGTGCTGGAAGGAACAGATCATATTTCCACCTGAATTGATCTGGGAACCATGTGGATTGTGATATGTCTGCGTGTTTTATTTGGGTAGTAGGTGTGATATATTTCTCTGGAAATGAATGCTTGCCATATGAAGATGGTCTTTTGGCTGTGGCAGCAGACACCCTGCATGTTTTTCCTGAAACAAATGCAGTGATATTTGAGTGCTTGGCTGCACGCTGTGGATTTCAGAGACATATGGTTGATTTCTGGAAGTGAATTTTGTCCCTTCCCCCTACCTCACTTTTGGGGTTTTTTTTGAACTTTATATGAAAGAGTGGTCAAAGGCACATTTACCTTTCCGGTGAAGGGACTCTTTGACATTAGGCAAAAGAATTTTAAAAACAGGAAGGTGGTGGCAAACCTCTCCCTCTTCTGTCCATCTCTGACACATAAAAGGTGGGATCCAGTACTCATGAAGGAAATAACTTCTTCTCTGGACTGGTTTGAAGATAAAATAGCACATGTTCTGTGTGATCACTAACAGGGCATAAGGATTTCCATCCATTTCCTTCTAATGTCCATTATTGAAAATGGGGATTTACTTAGAAGGGCTTAAGAGAGGTTAAAAAAGTACTTAGAAACACTAGGGGGAACTTTCTAGGGGTAAGGTTGATGTCATTCTAGAACAGATTAAAATAAGCACTCAGCTGGTTTCATAGCACTGGAGAGGCAAAATTAATCCTAAGGAGATAGTCTAAAAATATTTTGAGTTGCATTATAAATATATGATTTGTACAATACTGAATGACAAGCTGAGAATTTTTCAAACTTTGTGAATATTGTGTGTAAAGTTAACTGCTATTAGGATGGTATTTGCAGATGATAGTTACATTCCCAGGAAGAAGCTCTGCAGCTGCAGTAATGCTGATTTAATCACAGAGTAAGAATACAGTTCAGTTCCCTCTCGAAATACAAGAAAGTCAGATGATCACATGTAGGTGTCAGTCTGGTTGCACTTGGAAATTGAGCTTACAGAGGTCTTGCTGTAATGATTTAAATCTGTCTATAAACAACACTTATGAAATTTATTTCTGATGTGACTGAATTGACAGAAAAGGATAAAAACAATTTCTGTTTTTAAAATCACTTTTTGACAAAAATATGTAAAAAAAGGTTGAATAGGTACAATGAACACACCAAAAGTGTATGAACTTTAGTGACTAATCTTTATTACAGATTTTTAAAAGTCTGTTTTGCTCAGACACTCTCTATTTGGTCATGTGGGATTTTTCTGATGAGTGGGGTAGTTGCAGGGAAATACTTGGATATCCTGAGTTTTTTCAGGGATGAACCTAGAGCCTTGCTGAAAGACTAGCTATTTATTTCAGGGTTTTCATAAACCTTTGCAGTGATACAGTCACGTTTGAGGGGCAGATGTCAAACCGTGTAATCCTTGGGCTGTTCTGTACACACCCCACCCCGTCTGTGAATTCTGCACTCGAGTACAGAGTCATACAAGGCCTGGGATATTCAGCTCTGCAGAACGACAGCCTAACC